TTTTGGTATAATATAACCACACCAGACAAGTCTTTAAACCAGATTTAACCTTTTTCGCATTGGTAACTTGATTCACCAGGCGAAACACCAGCAAGATTTTTCTCACAAGAAATCTCCTAAGTTCATACAAATAATGACTATAGTCTCCCAGAAGCAACGCACAGTGTAGCATTGCATCATTATAGCACTGAAGGTATCAGAGTATCTGCCACTGGACGTGGCTATTCCCATCCCTTCGTTTCTTTTAATCACAACTACGGCCATTCCCATGATTGAACCATGTAATTTTAGTTGAATAAACATGGAGGTGGCAGGTCAAAAAATGCTGATATGTGTTGGCAAAATAATCTCATCACAAGGTCCATTTAGCAGCCATTTAGGAACCTCCAGGTATAAACATAGTGTGTCTTCTTCGGAAGATGGAGTTGCCCATTTGTAAAGGAATCAATCAATCAATCAATCAATCAAATCACAACCAACCATTAAGACAAAGTGGACAAAAGGTGCTTGAAGCCTCAGAAAAACAGATATTTGAACATCTGCTATTCCATGACAACTCCAGGAACATTATGTGCGATACTTGTGAAAGCTCCAGAACAGCAACCATAATTTCTTTTTCAAGGACGAGACTTTTAATCTCAACTCATATGAGCCGTTTTGAATGAATGGCCTGCTGTTTAGCTTGGAGGACTTATTGAAAACGTAGCTTCTTCAATTCATCAGCCTAGAGAACGCAAATCTGCAGCATGTTGTGAAATCAGATATATAAAGACAAGCTTTAACAAGAGCAGCCATTAATAGCACACAAGAAGAAAATCTTGGCAAGACAAGATCCTGCATAAAGGGTAATTAAATGTAGAAGTCACAACCTGGTTTCAACTTTTAAACTCATTAATGTTTCCTTTACAGACTGTTCTCATCTTCTCTGCTTGTGTATACTTTATGTGTAAATGTATATGGCTGTGTTTGAAGCTTCTGTCTTAGTTTCAAGACAGACTGGGAGAACGAAAGACAGAGTGCATGAGAGTGAGAGTCCTGGTTGACCATACATGGTGAAACCCCGTTTTACTGCTTCCTCATTGCCAAGAGGCCTTTCACACACGGAAGACAAGGCATCACACCACACGTTTTTTGTCTGTGAATGTGTGTGTTTCTGTGTCTGGTCACATATCCTCTGAGAAGGGGGCAACCCGTTTTTCTAAATTTGGTTCTTTGTTGAACCATTTCACACAATATCCACCACAGAAGGGCAACATAAAACAGTGATAAATGTCCATGCCAGTTTCCAGAGTCAAAGGGGATGTCTTCAAATGTCTTATTTTGTCCCACCAACAGTCTAAATCCCAAAGATATTCATTATTACATAAATATATTCAGTTTACAATCATATACAATCACATATGTGACTGAAACTGGCTATTAATTATCAAAATAGCAGCAGATTCATGTCAATCTACAAATCAATCAAATGTCAGTTGTTCAGCTCTAGTCTGGTAACAAAGTAAATCTGCCAAATAGATTATTTTGAGCGTGACAGTACATAGTTTATCCACAGTGTCTTTCTGAGACATTTTCTTTTATGGAACACATGTGCTGATTTGTTTTGTTGTTTCGAACATGCCTCCCGACAGGAATTTGAATCCATCAGTGAGGTTATGTATAAAAGCTTTCTCAGCATAGCTCTGTAAAGACAATCTTGTGTATCCTCCTATAATAATAATAATCCATCCATCCATCCATCCATCGTCAACCGCTTATCCTGCGTACAGGTTACACTATGAGGTTAAACTGTTTTTTAACACACCAAATAGTAGATATGACGAGTTAGCATAATCCTAGTTTAAGGACATAATGCAGGATCATGATCAAAAAGGAAGCAAAGATCTATCTCAGGAGTAGAAATATGAGGTGTTTTCTTGTGATCAATATAACAGGCTTTTCTCTTTTTGAACTTTAGCAGAGGGTTGGCGCGTTCCTTTGATGTTCAGGAAAGTGTTGTGAGACTCTTACTTTTTTGCAATGGAAACCAATTTATTTCTGTTCTAACTTCCCTTCGTTTGAACAACACAAGGCTATACTGCATTGGCTATAACAAGTAGGCTTATGGTAGTATTATAGAGTTAAAACACAAACCTCTAGTCTGTCATGATAAATGTAGAATGTATTATATTGTCTCTCATTTGTATTAAAATATCTATATGCTTTCTAATTAATTGTGAGACCATAGCGGAACAAATTGGTAGCCTCTAACACTAGTGAGATAACATATTGAACAAGTTTCTGTAAGCTCACAGCTCTTCAGTATTTCTCTCTTTATTTCCTTAAAGGAGACCTATTATACTGCATTTCCAGTCCTATATTGTAGTTTTGTGACTTTTGTATGGCAGCTTTGCATGATTTATGTAGGGCTTCATTTCAGCCTCTGTCTGAAACAAGCTGTAGATGCTCCTGTCTCTTTAAGGCCCCCCCCTCTCAAAACCCACTGTCTTCTGATTGGCCAAGACCTGAAGCATGTTACCAGGCTGTTGTTGCCGCTGAGCAGTAAACACAGAGTGAGCACATCAAATGACCATATATAGAATACCGGCTCTGTGTAGCTCTATGTGTCATCAAACAGAGCCCTTAGTAGAAAAAGCTGTTGAAAACAGATCATTCAGAACAGGAGGAAATCTGAGGTTTTTGCGCACAGGGATTGCTTTTAAATACTTTAACCTCATTATCTGAAGCTTTGGCCATGTTTAAAATTAACATCCAACATCGTAACATTGTAGATAAGTCAAAAATAAGGAAAAGCATAATAGGTCTCCTTTAAAAACAGAGAAGCTTGAATTACAACACACACAGATGGAGGGTGGCATCATTACTCAAGTATATGTTTAAATAGCAATTAGTTGTTTGCTCCTATATTAATGTTCAGAATCTCATATACAGAACCTTTAAAAACAACACAGGTTGTTGAACAGGTATGAACATTGTCTTCCAAAAACGCCTATAACTGATACAAAAATGATTCTTTTGTGCATTTTCTGACATGCTTGTAGTCAGGTGTGGCCAACAAAAACAACTTGGTTAACATTACAGAAAGTTTGTGGTCACTGGTCAAAAAAAAGAACAGCACTGAGTGGGAAACAGTGGTTTATGTAACAGTTGGACGCTTTGTTGGCGCTTCCATCCACTGAACAATGTTACAGAACTTCTGCAATTGCTTCACAGAGACGAAAAGCTCCTTTGTGAGGAAAACATGACCAAATAACCAATGCTTGTTTCAGGTGAGGACATATTGGCAGGTATCAAGCTAACACAGGCTCACTGGAGGATTGTCTTCATCATTAAAGTTAAACAAGACATTCGTTGGAACAGAACACAGAGCAAACGGTCTTGATTTTTTAAAAACATTTTACCACCCACTGTTCTGCACACAGGATGCCACACTATGTTGAATTTTCATGAGCTGCTAGGTCTATGAAAATTTACATAAATGTAAACCTGTAAAACTGTATATGCAGTAGAAAATTGAAAAGACTACTGCAGTAGAAAATTACTGCATATGTATGTACACGGCCTGTTGAATAACTCAAAAGGGTTACTGCAACCTTCAAGTACTCTTTGACGTGAGGGTGGCTCCAGGCTGTCCAGATAAAAACAAGTAAGTCTAATTTTCTTGAGATATGCTTGTTTTGGGTAACTGGTTCTGACCACCCCTCTTTGTGATCTAGTTTTCATGGGTTGGACTGATTGTCAAGCAAAACATTTATTAAAACAATGGAGAATGACCAGAGACAGTTTTTCAATTCATTAAAATAAAAACTTTCCTGAAAGTAAACAGTCCAGGTACAACTGAAACTGGATATTAAAGGATTCATAAATTGAAGGAAGTTATATCACATCCATGATCTTCAGGGTGTTGATCTCTTCCTTATTGTAGTTAAGTACAGATTAAGACTACTATAAGCTAAAAGTTCTGCACAGAAACAGTATTTGAGTAGTTAGTACAAAGTGTATGTCTGTTCATACCAACAAATCACTTCTCCTAGCTCAGACTCGCATGTAAACATGATGAGACTGCACAGCAGCTGCCTGACCTGTCGCGGGTTTCACTGCCAGTTTAGAGGAACCTTGATGACATGACTGTGAAAATGATATTATTCTTGTCTAACTGGTTTACATAGTGATACAAAATAGAGAAATGATTCATCAGAACAATCAGTATATTTTCCATTATGAGCAATGCCAGTTTACACCATGTAGAAAAATTTCACTAACAAATTTAGTCATTGTTAGTCTCAAAATAATCACAACTGTGATCTTTACCTATATCCAGTAGTTTATGTTTGCAAATAAGTTTGTTTGTTAGTTAGCAGAATATGTCTAAAAGGTTGGATGATGTTTTTGGGTGCAGATCCAGAATTCTTTGATGGATTTCTTAACATTTTTGAGCATTTTTAAATTCTTTCAACTAAACAACTGCCTAAATTATTTAAGCAAATCTGGCAAATGTTTCCCAAGATTGTCCCAATCACTATTTTGATGCAGTTTTGCAAGTGAGAATTAAAAATGATATAAAAGGGATTATGCACAGCCTCATTTCCAATGCTATCAACTACTGAAGGAGTTTCAGTTTCACTTGTATTTGAGAAAATAGGAATTTTGGATTCTAACTTATTAGCTTTTCCTGCGAAGTTAACACAGATCTGTCTGGGCGCCCTGAGAATGTGCTGTTAAAAGTCACTAAATTCCGTCATTTAAAAGTGCCCCTCTTGCAAAATTGGGATTTATGCACCTTTGACAGTAGACATGTAGAAAGATTAGATTCAATTAATTAATCAATTAGCTCTTGGCATTCTCACTATTTTCAAATGTTTTAGACCAAACAGTCAATTAATAACTTAATATTCCCAGATTAATTCATACTTAATATAATAGTCAGTTGCAGCTCTAGTAATATGATATTCTTAGGATGTTACAGGAGGAAGTTTTGTCCTTATTTTATATCTACTCACAGTCTACTGATGGGATGAAGGAGAAGAGGAAGTAAAGTAATCCAGATTCAGTGAGGATGATCTTCCAGACAGGCCAGCAGAGATTCACAATCTGCAAAGACATGAAACAGAAGGTTTGACGTTTGAAAGTACAAGTTTGTTTTTGTTTGTTTGTCCACATAATCTTATCTTTGTATCTTTGGACTAAAACAAGTGGTGGCGGCGCAATGGATAAGATGCCTGACTTTCGTGTGAGAGACCTGGGTTCAATCCCTCCCTGTGACCCATCCACCGTTGTGTCCCTGAGCAAGACACTTAACCCCTAATTGCTCCAGAGGTGTGCGACCTCTGACATAAATAGCAATTGTAAGTTGCTTTGGACAAATCAGTGAAATGAAATGTGTCTTTGTACATCCTAAACACTTTTTGTCAGTTATTTCAACACCACAATATTGCTTGTTTCAAACGACAGATAACACAACCAAAGAATAGAAATAAAAAATGATGAGCACTTCTGTCAACAGTGTTGCCCCATGTTGCTCAATTGAGCCAACAATAGAGGCACTCCCTGTCCCCGTGTTTGTGTGTTTCATGTTCTTATATCCCAGTGGAGACTTAAACCTGAATGCAAACTTTTAAAAAAGTGAGGTCCCCACAGTTAGAGGCTGCTTTTTGATTTTTGGTTAAAACATAGTTTTAAGGTTAGGGTTACAATTAGGTCAAGGTTAGGATTAGGACGTTAAGTTTAGGGTTAGGGGCTTGGGAATGCATTATGCCAATGAGATGTCCCCATGATGACAGGGGAACAAAAGTGTGTGTGTGTGTGTGTGTGTGTGTGTGTGGGGGGGGGGGGGGGTGGACCCTGTGGGACTGGCATTAGAATAAAGCATGAATAATTTCTTTAGAGGGACGGAGCAGCTGTAGCCCTTTCACATGAAAATGAGCATCGCCTACACCCTCAAACACACACACACACACACACACACACACACACACACACACACACACAGAGCTATATTAGGTTTCTCCACCATGTTACTCTTGCCACATCACCAGCTACCTCTCAATTTATTCGGGTTAAAAACAACTCATAATCTTCAAAAATAATCACCAACAACTGATTTCACTGAAGCCCTGCAAACACTCTGACCTTGCACCACTAAATGCAGGAAATATTCTGAAAGCATTTCAGTAAAGTATTTCTAATCCAGCTCTGCCAAAAACTCTCAAAATGAAACAGTTGGGGTTTTAATTTAGAGGTGATTCATTTCCTGATATTGCTGTAATCAGTACAATATTAATATTGTGATTGAATTCAGTTCAGTCATATCGATATATATATTAAGTATCTTTTACATCGTTACATTTAAGTGATAAATATTATGACTGTATTGTGTGTGGATCATCAATTATCTTCAGTGTTTTCTAAAGTACTAATTAGGGATGAAACGGCTACCAGTGTAAAGATCAAGACCATGATCAGGGTGGCTGTGGTTCAGGAGATAGAGTGGGTTGGCTATTAATCGGAAGGTCGGCGGTTCTGGCTCCCCCTGGTTGCATGTCGAAGTGTCCTTGGGCAAGATACTGAACCTGAACCTGGCGGCTGTTCCGCCAGTGTATGAATGAGTGTGAATGTTAGTTTCCGTTTGAGCACTTGAATGTGTATGACTGGTGAATGCAGATGTAGTGTAAAAGCACTTTGAGTGGTCGAAAAGACGCTTAGAAAGGCGCTATACAAATACGGAGCATTTACATTTACAAGTCTTCAGAGGACCTTAAAGGTGGTTTAATACATTACCTAGTTTAGCCACCCAACAATAAATCAACAAATGTATTTTGTTGATTTAAAATCCGGAAGTGATTGAATTGTTTGTAAAAGTGTTGTTATCATTGTCTTTTTAAGACTTCTTAAGAGTTTGTTAATGTGGTTAATTGATCTATAAAATACAGTTTTAAAAAGTAGATACAGTTTCTTAATTGAAATGAAAGAAAATCTGCTATATCATGGGATACAGCACTATTGTGATATAAAACTGCATATGCTGTGATCGAAGTTTATAGACATTTTGTTACTTACTGTAGTTATATCATGACATCAACCAATTAAGACATTATTAGTCTTGCTAATGTTATAAGCACGTTTTGTAATTTGAGGTTATATTGTCTATGAAGATTCTCAGTCATCCAGGTCATAGTTATCCAACGAAGGTTAAAATCAAGGGCAACTGGACTTGGTTGAAGATACTGGAAGACATTTCGTCCCTCATCCAAAGGACTTCTTCAGTTCTGACTGACTGGCAGGGAAACTCAGCTATTTAACCTCAGTGGGGTCGTTGACCCGGGCCAACGACCCCACTGAGGTTAAATAGCTGAGTTTCCCTGCCAGTCAGTGTGTATGTATTTAAATCCAGCCAGTTGACACTATTTTGATCAATATCCATATTCCATACAAATAATAATTAATCTAAAAGTGGGTTATATATCAGCATGCTAAGGTTAGACTTAGGACTGAAACGATTCATTGATTAAATTGATTACTAAAATGCTTCATTTAATCCTTATTATATAGCACTGTTTCGCATGGACATTTATTACTGTCGCACATCAGCTTACGCTGTGAACACGAGCTGATTATAATGGCTCTGTTTGCAAAGTGGAGGAAGAGAGAGAAAATAGCGAGGGGCGAAGAAGAAAGTGTCCAAACTATGGGATTATTTTAAGCTAAAGAAAACAACAAGAACTCTGTAATGTTACAGTCCGTCCACCGTAACAGTAACCACAACTTTAGCATTTAACTGAAATCATAATTGATTGTTGAGTTGAAGGCAAAGTAAGCCGCAGAACTCAGCTGAAAATGTGCACACGTGCGTTGTTGTTCTACTGTTTGGGCCGTGAGTTGTAACTTCAGTCATGAGTTAACTGGGTGTCGGGGACCTCAAGCTCTTTATAATAAACAGCTGTTTCGTGTGCAGAATCGCTCATTTCCCGTTTTACATTTCACGTGTATTTTCTTGACAAAACGTGGTTTGGAGAGCTGCGTCGGGTGACAGAGTCGCTGTCAGCTTGTGTAGTGTGACCCCATGTCACCGATCAGTCACGTAGTGTGAATGCCACAACGACTTCAAGACTCCCATCACAAGACGGCAAGTTGTGTAGTGTGAACAGCACGGCCATCGGCCGACGCTGAAAGTCGTGTAGTCTGCATGAGCCTTTAGTTTAACTTTTATAGCACTCAGGTGATGTTTGTGTTTGTAAAGTAGCTGTCTGGTTGTTGGTTCTAATGTTTGCTGTATGATACACTATGAATTTCCGAAAGGACCAATAAATATCTATCACCTATAAATGTGCACAGCTGATCCTGTTCCCGTTAAATGACGCATCGATGAATTGTTGAAATAATCTATAGAAGCTTCGAATACTAAAATCATCGTTAGCTGCAGCCCTAGTTAGCTTTGTCAGTTAGCCAACAGTTACACCAGTCAGTGAGTGGGTGTAAAGATTTAGTAACCGCTAATGTCTATGAATGAACTGCTTGTGAGAGGAAACCTGTTTTAATGTAGACACATACAATATTCAATTATACCTGAACCAATCACAGACCAACATAGTGTAATGTTCCAGTAAAAGCCAAAGACAAACTGAGATCCTCTACAGCCTGACACTATATCTGCTAACAAAATAAAATTATTTGCTTCCAGAGCTCAACTGCAAAACATAAACCTTTCAACAAACTGTTGACATGTTGGATAGAACAAACCTCACAGTGTGTGTGTGTGTGTGTGTGTGTGTGTGTGTGTGTGTGTGAGAGAAACTGCTTCTTGCACAAGTCAGCATCACTTCCTTCTGTTGTTTCCGGATGTGTATTTAAAGTGGCGGTCTGGCTGGCAACAGTAACCTTCATTCTTTTGTCTGGGTTGCACATAACTATCTAGCTGCCTCACTGCCACAACGATTGCAAAGAACTAACAATACCCTATGTGTAAAGTAAAGAAGATCATCAGCCATCTCTCTAGTCCCCTCTAGTTTGTATATTTAGTCAGAATCGCATGGCTACCCTAAACCTGCTCAAATGTCCCCACCCTCAAAGTCTAATTGGTCCTCACAAAGATAGATGTACAAGACCAACACACACCCAGACCACTGAGTTCCCCAATGAGAAACTCAGCCAGTCAGTCACCTCATGCAGGTCAAATCACTTTCATTTTGAGTTAAGTAATACAACTCAGATAATCTCACTTGTTTACAATATCATATTGTTTAGACAATTATCTAGTATTATTAGACATTACCTTTATACGAGCAGCATAAGTATCTAAGTTATGTATAGATATTGAAAAATTACTTGATATAGGTGAAACTGCATAGGAAAACAGTGTTTCGCACAGAATAACTGTGGTGGGGGGGTTATGCCGAATTTTGCATGCCTGCCGAGAATTGCATGAAAATGCCTAAAAATGCTTTTAAACGATATGCAATTCTTTGTGGGGTTCATCAATAGCGATAAATGATCAATATATCTTTAATGAACGCTATGAATCGTTAATATATTATTACACTAAGTAACACTTAGATTCTCTCTCTGCCTGTGGAAAAGGAGCAGGATCATTTCACCTCAGCAGAAGTTTTTAACAAAATACTGATTTTGAGGTATGAAAGTAACTTTTTGGATGTACAGTATTTTTCTTCTGGTATCTAAGTTTAAATTACTACAAATTTAACCCTTGTGTTGTCTTCCCGTCGACCATGCACTTTTTGTCCTCCCGGGTCAAAATTGACCCGATCTGGTTTGCCTGCTTTTAAAGCATCCAGTTTAACTTATCACCCAATTCTGTGTTACACCTTCTTAGCCAACTTCATTCCAACTCATTACCACTATTTTTACACTTCTTGGTGGAATTCATGGTCAATATATCTCATTTATATGAAACTATACCAAATTTATAAGCTAAAAAAGCAGAAATTATGAATTCTTTTGATTAATAGTTAGGATCAGAGGACTATATGTTGATGGATTATCACAGACTAGTATATGTCAAAGTTTGGTCTGGATACTGGTTTGAAACCATTTCATTATTTTTAATGGCAGCAAATAATCAGACTTCTTGTCCTCCC